CCTAAGTTAGTCTTGATTTAGACCCTATTTCCATACCTAGAGTGGTTCTAGACTGAGTTAGTCCTGATTTAGACCCTATTCCCATACCTAGTGTACTTCTAGTCTGAGTTAGTCCTGATGTGAGCACAGTCAGATGATGTCAATTAGTCTACTAGCTTCTGGTTTAAGTAAGAGCTGATGTGAACACACTTTTGCAAGTGCCCTGACAAGGTAGCCTCACCTGAAATATATAACTGAATACTGGCAGTTCACCTCCTGTTTTCCGTGTGCTCTCCCTTGGACCTTGTCATCTTCTTTTAACAGATATAGTGTATCCTTGGTAAGCCTGCATATTGTTTCTTGCTGTGTCTTTGAAGTTGGTGTACTATTAACGTTTTCGCATGTCATCAGGCAATTTAAATGGTTTGTGCCTAATGGCAGAGACTGTTTAGTATTAGATTCAATTTAGTTTCTCAGATTACTGGTTGAATCAATATATTATAGAACCCTAGGAAAATGTGCAGATCAGGGAATGGGTATCAGAAAAGCTATTTAGTATGACTAAGAGATCGCATTCACAGCGAGTTGAGCCAGGCTTTACAAATCCTGGGGACTAAATATGGCGGACGTACATGAAAGAAAAACCGCCTAATCTTTTAATAGTCTCTCCACCTCTCACACGCCTCCCCACATGTCGTCCCTGCGGGGGGACAGTCATTAAATCTCGGCTCCATTGGGACGACGTGTGGGGAGGCGTGCGGTGTGAGAGGTGGAGAGACTATTAAAAGATTAGGAAGTTTTTCTTTCATGTACGTCCGCCATATTTAGTCCCCAGGATTTGTAAATCCTGGCTCAACTCGTTGTGAATGCGATCTAAGGGCTCATTCCCAAGTCTAATAGCCAAATTAAGCTGTCAATGGGAATAACGTGTATGGGTTGGGGGGGAGGGGGGGGGAAAGAAGCCTCCATTTTCAATAACATTTAATTTAACCATCCCAGGGTTACAATAAGTTTCCTCATACAACAGCTAAAATTTATGGGTATTTTCACTCTGGCTTTTGTTTGAAAATTCTATGATAATTACAACTTAAAATGCAGAACACGGCTGATGAAGGTCTTTGGTGGAAAGCTATTCAGTTTTTAAAATATCTTAAAGGCAACAACTAAGTACCATTTACCTGTGCAGTCAAGGTGGAAAAAACTGTTATTACCATTCAAAAATGTCTATTCTAGGTGAAGCCCATTTCATGACCATAAGCCATTGGGTCATTACCATGTGGAGCTTGAGAACAAGATAAAGGACTTGGAGAGACAAAGAAAGTGAAAGAGAGAGAGGACAGGTTATGAGCCCGAGTGTTTTGGGGTGGAAGAGATCTTTCCAAGAGGGTCAGAAGTAAGGGAGTGGTATCTCAAGACTGATATTCACTTACTTCACGCCAACCATAGCAGATCATTGAGATCTGAGGAAACTGCAAATTTTGGCAGACATTGGAGACATTTTTTCCCTGTGTGTTTCCCTTGGTAAGATGAGCAGTGAGAGGTTTACTTTGTGCTCTTGATGTTTATATGTAGAAAATTTTGCCAAATTAATATTTGATTTTTGATATGATTTCAGATAATAATTTTTTTTTTTTTTTTTGATAAATGAATATAAAAGTTTTTTTTTTTCAAAAACATGCATATTTACTAGAAATTGTGTTTAAAAAAGGAAAATAAACATCGTAAAGCTGATTTTAATCTTCTTATAATAAAGTAAGTTGGCATGTTTGGGGATGCTTTGATGATCAGCTTGTCATTTGGGGGTGTCAATCATTGTAAGCACCATCCAATCAGCTCTCAGGAGGTTGTCGATCATTGTAAGCATCATCCAATCAGCTATCAGTATTTTTATCCATTTACATATGTTAAAAAGTCAGTTATCTGGGGTCAGATCATTCAGTAGTTTTAACATATTAAGAAGAAGGTGATTTTTATGTATAATTTCTTAGGTAAAACTATCATCAGTCCTAGTCCACGTTAAATTATTTTTTTTCTGATTCATAAAAAGAGTCAAAATGGCTAATGTTTTAGATTCATAACGGCTTTATTCTTAGTGGGCTATCACAGAACTTACCTGAACCAAAGTGGACTAGATTTTTCGGTCTTAAAATTCAGAACAACTTATGAGCGATGAATTTATGCTTTAACACTAATATGTATTAATGTGATTTGTTTCTTTAAGCCAATAGAAATCCACTCCAAAGATGTCTGCGGAGCTGGTTATGATTCAGGGCAGGGCCATTCCCACCAAGAAGAAGAAACGCGACTTTTTCGATGAACTTTTGAAGATCTTGCGGCGGTTGGCCGGATACTGCGCATACTGCATCACATGTGGTTGCTATCCCAAACCGGATGGGAGCGTGGAAGATGATGCCAATGATCCCGAATTACTGGAGGGGGAGAGAAGGGCCGTGCAGAACTTGCTCATGTATTTAGAGAACGGTGAGAAAAAAAGGCAATCCCATTAAAACTGAAACTGAATTTGTATAAATATACTTATTTACTGCAAAAAATGTATTGATTGATTGAGTGTGTGTGTGTGTGTGTTCTTGTATAAGGATGTCCTTGCGCTGAATCATGAATTTTGAGTATTTTATGCATTAAAGGGAGGTGACAGGTTCATTTTTTTGTCTTTTTTTTGTGTGTGTATTAAATCCTTGGTCTGCTGAGATGACAGGTAGTAAATTACTACCCTAAATCAACTATAAAGTTGCTGATTTCCTATGTACTAAGTGAAACGGCCAAAATTTGACTGGAAAAGTGGCATATTTTCCATGTACTAAATTACACCCCATTTCCATAGATTAGATCGACATACTTTAGATCGACCTAACTCCCTGGAGGTTCACGCTAAATGGCTGTCAGCCGGGTGGACACGAAAGTTATTTACCCCCTTACAGCTTGTAGTAGGCGGGACGGACATTTAAGTCGGACTATCTGAAAGTAATCTAGTTAGACTCCCCGCGGGGATAGATCGATCTAAAATCTATGGGAATAGAGCCTTAAAGCTTCCCAACTTGATTACAAAAAAGATAAATTTCACATGAGCAAAGAAGGAGTGTCCTAACTTGACTAAAAAATTGGTGTATTTTGCATGACATCTCAGCCAATTTTGAAAATTAAAGGAAAAAATAACTTAATATGACAGGAAAGGACACCCCTTTGTAGTGATAAAAAAACTAATGGAAAGAGGGAAATTAGTTTACACCTGAAATGTTTGGTGTGTATGGAGCTGTATCTAAGGTATGCACTACATCAGTGAACATGTTAAACATTGTCCTTAACATGAAGTGACTTTCAAGATGGGGTCTAACTTCTAAGGACAACTTTATTTTTGGATACTGTAGTCTCTGAATCAGACTGTAGTTACTAGCACTTACAGTCACCTGGTTCATTTTGAAGATGTTGTCATTTTAGGATTTGCTATATTTAGGTATGTCCAAGTTTTCTGATTGTTGACCAGGGCATTATGCAGACATAAAGCCATCACTAGTGCCTATAGTCAGAATCAAGATATAAACTTATTTTGGTGTGGATGCATTTACTCCAGTTTCAATTGCTGTAGTCTTTTACTAAACCTATCCTTGGCTATACAAATATATGCTCATTTGGAAAGTTTGGCTGAGTGAAACATTATTCTTAAAGGATTTTTTTTTTTTTTAACAGGTCATTGTAGTAATTTCTGTGTGTTTGTATGCAGTCACCTGGTTACAACATTCTTTTCTAGTGTGGACATCTACATGGACTGGGAAGTGGGGGGGGGGGGGGGAGAGGGAGAGAGATCAAAGACTTGTTCTCTGAATATAATACAATGATTTTACTGATCTGGGGAAGGATAAGATTGGCTTTCTTGGATGAACTAATCTTAACAGTAAAGTCTTTTTTTCGGAATAATTAACCATAGACAGTGGGATATACAATTATAGTGATAACATCAGCAAATAATGAGGGGACACCCCTGTTAATTGGTCTTTTAATGGAGGAGGACATGTCAGAATTTATAATGATTTTGGCAAAACAAAGGTTCATTGTGAAGGCCCGACCTCTGTATACTAAAAGGGTAACTGTCATTATGTAATATTTATCTCAATTTCAGTAGAGAATGTAGACTCTACTGACCCAAAACAGAAATAGTGGCCTGTAAGTGAATGAATATACAGTAAAGTACTGTAGGGCCCCAGGTTCAATGGTACTTGTGTGCTACAGGTGTTCATTAATAGCAGAAGATAACATCTGTCTACACGGGGCAAGTTATTTCTCGAAAAGGGCATTGACCTGTCTAAAAATTTCTGAGCTGACACAAACAGCCGATTCTTTTTTTGATGCCATGGTATCCTTATCACAGCGAACAAGGAGTAAAATAAAACCAGAATGTTCGTGTTACACATTTTTAAAGGAAAAAAAATTTTAAGAAATAGAGAAGTTTTCAGGTAATTTCAACACATTCCTCAATAATGATGGTATGCTCTACCAAAACTGTTAATAAAAGTACGATCCAACAACCTGTTTTAAGTTGAAAGTTTTAATATTTGTGTCACATGCATGTCAATGGCTTAAAGCCATGATCATAATTTTTATACAGTTTTGGATAGGGTATACCTTGGAAATAAAAGATAATTGTTGAAGTTTTTTCTAAAAATTATACTTTTTTGCTAGTAAAGGTCAACACCAAATGCACGCCTTTAAAAGGTGTCATTAATCGGTCCTTTATCCGGAAGAAATCTAGCCATTATTTAAAACTTTGAATTGCTGGAAGGAGTCTTGAGTAATGATAAGATCTTTTTTGCGTGATGTTTTCATTACATCCGCCTATAATATAAATTGTTGCCCCTCATGACATGCACATGTACGTATCCTGCAGTTTTTTTTTTGTTTTTTTTATGAACATGTATATGAAAACTTGTTTTCAAAATATTTGACAAAAACAATTTCATAAATATATAATTGGCCAGTGTCACACACACACAAAAAAAGAAAAGAAAAAAGAAAAATTGCACACAGAAATGGACATGGGATGACATGTATTGTAAAACATGCTTGAATTTAGTTTCTTCACTTATTTACTTTCTATTAACTAAGCATTTAGTACTATTAGAAGAAATGTAGATAGCCAAGATTGTTTGCATTTAACAGCTTAAAAAATCTGACAAATTGTTATAATTCTTATATTTTGCATGATTGTGATCCCGGGCCCTAAACCTGAAGAAATTTTACTGTACAATGAAGAAATAAGATATGCTGATAAGCAACTTGCTTTGTTTTTTTGCAGACAGACATACTTCTGACATACTTCAAAGCCATGTTTTATTTTGTATTGTTTTGTATCATATTTAAATATTATGTTTTGTATTATATCATATTGTATAATATCTTATTTAAATTGTATAGTATTGAATTGTATCTTTTGTTAATGTTATATATTGTATTGTATCTAATTTTTATGTTATGTATTGTATTGAATGATACTATTACTTACTACTAGTACATTTGTATTCATATCTGTCACCATGAACCATTAGTTGTACTGTCATGCCTATAATTCACGCGACAACTAATTGATCATTTTCTGACATCTGTATGCGTACATGGTGACGAGATAATTATAGGGCNTGTGAGAGAGACAGAGAGGGAGAGAGGGAGGGAAGGGAGAGAGAGCATGTGTTTTATCCTTTCTTTGGAGTCCAGAATCTGATAACTTTTTGAAAATGTATTTCAAAGAGCAAATGATAGTCTCTCAGTGTAGTGTATTGAATTTGTTAAGTAAATTAGCTATATCTTCGTGCCGTTTTGGCCAACTGACTTAACTGTTCAGGCAAATGGTCTGTTTCACAGTGAACTGAAGGGGAAAGTTGACCTTAGATAAAAACCTGAAAATCTCAAACCACTTCAGTAAGTGTGATAGCCTACTTATAAGTAACTATAAATCTTGAAATATGAAGTTTAAAAAAAATGTTCTGTAGACTGTTTGGATTTGAGTTGTTTCCTATTTGTAATTTGTTTAATTTATTTGGATATTACAGTTTTGTTTAGTTGTTTTTCATTTTATTTTTGTGGAAATTTGTTGGTTGATGCCTGTAGGTGCATTTTGTAAATAACCAAAAATTGGGAATGGGGCTTGGGGGGGGGGGTCTGATCGAAATTGGTGAATAAAAACAGTAAATTTCTTAGGCCAAGTGAGGTTTCCTAGAAAATTAACATTATTCTGCGCAGTTTATTAGGCATTATTGTACACTAGGTCTGATTTATTTGCATTGATTTGAAGGCAAATACTGGGAAACCTGGTGTTAATTCAGTGGGATCGGTGTACTGAGTCATGTCAGGACACTTCCGCACAGACTAACACAGGAAGCACGGCTCAAGTCCGCTTGTCTCGGATCACATTTCGTAGTCGAGGACAACACGTGCTTTAGTTTGCAAATTTACTTACTAGTGTTTTTGTTCTATTTTTGCTGGTAATTTTCTTTTCGCTGTAATTTTTGCATTTTACGGATGTTTTTGTGTATGTTATTGTCTATTTATTAACATTTAAAATAAAAAAAGTTTAAGGAAAAATCCAAAATGATCAGTTTGGGAGATAAGTTTTTGGCACTGACAATCAGCGTAACTTATCAACAAGTTCCAACTAGCGGCATTCAAATATAAATCAAGAAAAATAAAGTATAAACTTTCATTGAAATACACAAGAGTTTGAGAAAAACACTGCTCAGAATACTATGATATGATACATTTTCAAGATTTTCATTGGTCATGGTTGGTTTCAGCTAAATTAAATGCCAAGTTCTAATTTAAAAAGAAGATATGATCCTTGAACCTAAAGACAAGTTCATGCAGCCTCTTTCTATTTATAGATTCTTGTATTCAGTGTCTGACTAAAGACTTCTAAGGGGTAAAGCCAACAGCCAAATGAGAGGCCATAATCTGTGTGAAGATTAATGTATGATTTGATAGAGATGATATCCTTAAGGGGGATTTTAAGTTAAGGGAGGTGGTCATTGTAAATACCCTATCCCCCACTCTGTCCAGGGACCGCTAATAAATTGTGGTCAACTGAGCTGCAGTTGCGGAATTTGACAGCAGTTGGGTGAGGCACCGTCTTTATGGAAAGATATATATATGATTTGTGTTGATATATCTCTGGTGTATTAATCTAACTCAGCCGTGCATGGTCTTGTTACACGCTTCCAGGCTTTGTGCATTGCATTCAATGCAAGTAGAGATAGCATATATGTATTCTTGGGGTAAATTTCTAGTCAAGTTAGGTTGTTCTTTCCTTAGTCATGTCTCTAGTCTTTATTATTGTCCACTTATTCAAGTTTCTTTGTCACATTTCTGGTCAAGTTATTTTTACCAAATATGATCTGTTAAGTAGTATTTCTTGTCAATTTAGATTGCCCTAATGTGGTATTTTGAGTCATTTTTCTAGTCAAGTTAGGCAGTTCTAAATTAAATGTGAATTTCTGCGTCTGTTTGAATATAAATTGACTGCTTGTGTATGTGCAATAGATTAAAAAAAAAAGAAAGAAACCATGCATGTACTGTGTGTATAATTCCTTGAGCTATAAAATCCTTAAAGTGCAGAAAAGGCTTCTTTCTGCTTAATGTCAGCGTTATATCATGCTGATAACAAATGGCATTGTTTGCCTGAACTTCTTGCACTTTCTGCACTTATAACTATGTCCTGACATTTGTACTTCTACGAGTTGCTTGCATGAGCTTTGTTTCAGTGTTTTGGCGTTTGTATTTCTATAAGTTGTTTTGCTGCTTCTTAGAGTGCATTCTCATAGATTTAGATCGATCCATCTAGATTGACCTAACTCCCTGGGGGTTCACGCTAAATTGCTGTCAGCCGAGCGCGCACGGTAGTTAATTACCCCCTTACAGCTTTTAGTAGGCGAGACAGACATTTAAGCTGGCTAAGCTGACAGTAATCTAGTGAGACTCCCCACAGGGATAGATTGATCTAAAATCTGTGGGAATGGGGTCTTATTGATTGCTCTCTTTCTGTGCACTGAAATATGATTCACTATGAGTTGCTTGCCTGATGTTTCTGTTTTCAGTTTCCTCCAGTGGTCATTGTCATGTCTATTTTTTTCTTGGTCTTTCAGTTTCCGCATATCACCACTGGTGTTCTGTGGGTTGTTTGCCTGAGCTTTCCTCAATTTCCTTTTTGTTTACTGACATTTGTATTTCTATGGATTGATGATCTGAACAAATTCATTGACATGGAAGAACTGGTGTCCTCGTGAATGAATAAATACGATTTCCAACCGCTGGAGGCCAATTTAAGGACACGTGTCTTGCTTCTGTTCCAATGAATGGTGGTGTATGGGGCAGCTGAGGTCTTAGGACCCATTCCAATTGAAACTATTATTCTACATAAATCTGTCCAACTTTGTGGAGATTTTCAATAAATGCAATCAGGTTTTACAGATTAACATGTGCATGTTATCTGGCATGGAGCAGAATACAGAAAAGGTGGTTCTTATACAAGTATGTTGAAAACAAGAGAAGGCCTGTTAGTTGGTCTGTTAGACCCCCTTTCCAGAGATTAGATCGATCTACTTTAGATCGACCTAACTCCCTGGGGGTTCACGCTAAATAGCTGTCAGCCAGGCGGACACGAAAGTTAATTACCCCCTTACAGCTTGTAGTAGGCGGGGCGGACATTTAAGCTGGATTATCTGACAGTAATCTAGTGAGACTCCCCGCGGGGATAGATCGATCTAAAAGCTCTGGGAATACAGCCTAAATCTGATTGCATTCAGCAAGGCTAGGATCCTGTGGATAAGCTACCATAATCTTCAATCAATTTTGTAGCTATAAAGAGGATAGCTGTTTTTAAGTGCAGGATAGTGCTATCCCTTGTTGATGAAAGTGGACCCTTATTTTTAAATGTGGCTTAGTTAACACAATATATAGTTATTTTTCCCTCCGGCCTGGTCAGTTTCTTTCCCCAGTCTGTCTATTCCTGTGTCCTACATCCTTTGCTCAATCTCTCTCTTTTGAAAAGATTATGCAATGTAAGAATGCTATTTTATCAAATGGGTGTCCATGCGGTTCATGAATACACACAGATTTGCACACATTCGAGTACGCCTATGTTGTACATTTTATGAAGACCAACACTTATTTAACAGTACACCTAGCATCTCTTCTTACCAATGATAAGTACATAAACCCTGGGTATTTGAAGAGTGAGAGATAAAAGGTACGATAACTGCTCTTTGAATTTGGGCAAAACTTTTTACTAGTTCTTGTGTTCCTTTTAAAGTGTTCTATTGGTTATACCTGAAAAATATAGTTCAGGGTTTGTTGTAAAAAGAGAGTTATGTCCAGATATGTGTGATTTTGTTGTGATTCATTGAAAACCTGGATGTTTGAAAATTAAGGTGACTGGAATTTTTGAGCCATTACCTTATGTAATGGTCTGTGTTCCCTGGCAGTTTCAGTCTGAGATTAAGGAAACTATGAAACCCAGATTAATAGCTGTTAGGATATATGTAATCTTAATAAACACTTGCCATTGCTCTATTACTAAATGGAAAAAATTAAGTAAACTTTTGACACCTTGTAAGTCATTTTATGGATAGAGTAAAGTTTGTAGAATTTCCATCTTGCACTTGTTCATGTCTTTTTGTTTTGTTATAGTGATTATTAATTTATTTATTTGAAATTTCTTTTTCTTTGCATTCTTTCCTTCTCTTCTTTATTCCTCCGTTTCTTTCTCTCCATCCTTCTCTCCTTCCTTATTCCCTTCATTGCTTTCATTCTTCCTTACTTCCTGCACTTATTTGTTTCTACTTCTTAATGGACCTTTGTTTGAGCATTAAACATGCCAGTGCAAGTTCATATAGTTAACCATCAGTAAGCCCTTAGATTCTGAGAATTACTGGGGGACACCTTTTGTGGTTCAGGGGTTTTCTTTCCAGGAAGTAATATGATTGTTCTTGGGTGGCAAAAGGGCATTTTTCACTTTAGCATTGATTTTATCTCTCTCTCTTTCTCTGTTTTTTTTTCTTTTTGTTGAAAGGTATTAAGTTGTTTTTCAGTCTAGTTGGTTGATCTGTCTGATAACTTCCCTTCTCCAGTAAAAGTGTTAACCTTTGCAGGGATTTTTTTTT